TGTGGGGGGGGGGGGGGGGGGGGGGGATTAGCGTAGCTGCGTGGTGGAGTTACAGATGGGGCCTCTGCGTGTGTGTGTGTGCGTGGGGTGGGGTGGGGTGGGGGGCTCCACTTATTGACTTGGCCTCAGTTCAGGTCCCACTAAAAAACAAAAGCCAGGCGATGACATAAGGGCTCCACAGGTGACACAGTTACTCCTGATCTTTGTAGCTCCCAGCGAGCATGCTCCCTGTGTGTTGTCTTATTTTRTTTTATTTTGAGGGGGCCGGGAGCCAGGAGGTGATATACAGCAGCGGTGACRACAGGGCAGGGCTGTGATGAAAAACAACAGCAGCAGAGATCCATAGAGGAAAAAGGGGGGAAGAATGTTTTTTTTTTTTCTGAAGAAAAGTTTAGACGCAGAGTTTTTATACATCTCTGCTCAGCAGTGAAGGAGGAGGGTGGTCGGCAGCAACTACAGAAGTCCTGTCTGCCACTGGGTAGAGATGAGTAGTAGAATAGAGAAAGAAAGCATGTGGAAAGTATTGCGATCCCCAGAAGACTGTGTTATGCCAAAGTAAGCCACCTGGGCTGCAAAGCAMAAAGGAGAAACCAACAAAAMGGTAGGAAAATGTTAATCRGAGTGCTGATAGACAAGTCATTTACACGTGGAAGTAAGTCATGCAAGGTAATAAGGGCAGAGAGGAGAAACGGTCAGAGAGAATGTTAACACCTCTAAGCCATTACACAAAATCAATGTACTTAAGACATCCTAATGAATCTTGTTCACAGGTAAGAGCTGATAATCCAGCTAAGTCCCTGTCAGGCCCACTCACCCACACAGGCCGACCCATCATCCTTGGGCTCAAAGCCTTGGTTGCATCTCCTTTTGGCACGGCACTTATAGCTGCCGTGGGTGTTGGTGCAAACGGGGCGGTCAGAGGGGCACACAGAGGGGAACTGGGTACATTCGTCTTTATCTGAAGGGAAGGAAAGGTGTGGAAGGGAAAGACGCTTAAGGTGCTTTAAACCAGGAGACGAGACGGGGCTAATCAGACAAATTAAATGTTTCTTACCTGTGCAACGACCGTRCTCATTCAAAGCAAATCCATGACCACACTGTAAAACAAGAATATTCAGAATCCTTTAACATGTGATTATCATTGTAGCTCTCTTGCTCATGTTGCATCAATTTTTATGTAGGACTATCTTTACAAGTCTACACTTAAGTCTGTCCTGTACTATACAAGTATCTATTAGATCATGTGTCAAACTCAAGGCCAGCAGGCYAAATGTGGCCTGCCATAGCATTTTATGTGACCTGCGAGAGTTTCAAACATGTATTATGTCTTTAATGTAAGCTGCTTTAAAGCCAGCAYTGGCCATAAACTACATCTCSCATAATGCATATTGATTCTACCAATTAAATGACAGCATCCCATCACTAGGTGGAGTGAACAGGTTTCAGAAKTAGCCAACAGCTGGTGAAATTTCACTGTGCATCTTTGCTGGCTACTTTGCCCAGTTGTACTGGTCATAAATTTATTTATTATAAATTTATTTGTATAAGGCTGCAGATCCAGACTGTGTGTCTCCCTCCTCAGAGACACTGTGCTGATGAGCCAACCCATTCTCACTCCCAAATCGTCACATATTGACACTTTTCCAAGGTTCCCTCTGCGTCCGATTGTGACACGTCGGGTACGCCCCTCGAGTCAGTTATTGACAAGATGGGGCAGAATCCATTGTCATAATTTCAGAAMGTGTAGAAAATGCACCAAACTAACCGTCCCAAAGCCTAAAATTACCTTCATTCACTCAAGACATCCTGTCCCTGTACTTAAAATTAACCATCAACCCTGATCCCTAAAATTAACCATTTTTAAAAAGTGTAGGAAATTCACGTCAACTACATGTCCCAAACCCTAAAATTACTTAATGTTCGCCCTAGACATCCTATCCCTGACCCCACTACCTAATATTAACCATGGAACCTGATCCCTAATTTTACCACGGACCCCAACTCAAAGACCCCTATATTTTGCGCCCCAATGCATCAAAACCAGACGCTGAGGGAACCCGGAAATGCCTGGTGCGTCAATAACCGATGCGACGGGGTACCCGACTCGTCAAAATAAGACRCAGAACCTTGGAAAAGTGTCAACGAGTCGGGAGTGAGAATGTGTTAGATGAGCTTCACAAGTATCTTCAACACTTCTCTGGAGTCATGCCACGTCCCCGCCTGTTTCAAGACCTCCATCATCGTCCCTGTTCCCAAGAAGCCACGTGTCACAGGACTCACTGACTACAGGCCTGTGGCTCTTACGTCCGTAGTCATGAAAACTTTTGTATGTTTGGTTTTAGCCCATCTCAAGTCTAACTGCAACCCCCTTTTGGACCCTCTGCAGTTTGCCTACAGAGCCAACAGGTCTGTATAGGACACCATAAACCTGGCTCTACCACTTCATCCTGCAGCATCTGGATTCACCAGGAACCTATGCTAGGATCCTGTTTGTGGACTTCAGCACCATCCTTCCTGCTCTGCTCCAGGACAAGCTTTCTTTGCTCCATGAGCCCAACTCCACCTGCTGGTGGATCACAGATTTCCTGACAGACCGGAGTCAGTGCGTGCACCTGGGGAAAGTTGTCTCGGACACACAGACTATAAGCACAGGATCTCCACAGGGCTGTGTTCTCTCCCCTCTGCTCTTCTCCCTGTACATTAACTGTTGCACCTCCAGCCATGACTCTGTAAAACTTATTAAGTTTGTGGATCCTCATCGGGCTCATCTCRGATGGTGATGAGTCTGCCTACAGAAAATAGTAGAATTGATTGTGCTCTTTAGAAAGGCCACAGCCCCCCCCACCCTTAACGACACCCCCATCACCACCATAAGAACAGTTTCTTCCCCTCTGCCGTCGGACCCTTGAACATTTAGAATCACGTCACTCTATAACTCTGCCTTGGACACTTTATCACTGGTTTTTAAACTGCACAACCCTGACTACATTGTTTTTCTGGTCACTTTTGTCACTGGATCTAACTGCACTACTCCAACTATAATGTTTATAATTGATTACTGTATTGAAATGGTGTACATCTGTTTTATTATATTTTTCCTTTATCGTTTGTATTTTCTTTATTTGTTATATTTTACACTTATTGCACCTTTAGACCGAAGCAAATTCCTAGTCTGTGAATCCTGTTCATTGACAATGTCAATAAAACTGATTCTGATTCTGATTAAACTAGAATACCCCTCCAGTGGGAATTCCCTGTCAGAAAATGGGAGAGTTTGGAATTCTAGATGGCAGCTAAATTACCACAACTTAACTTTTTATTATTGTATTTTATTTTTTTATTGCCTCTACCTAGAAACGGCATACTTATTGGTAGGTGTTCAGTTGTGTATCCAGTTTCTAATACAATATTAGATTTGTTTTATTGTGTATTTATGTTTTGTTGGATCCTTCTAACTTTACTTTTGATAGTATTTCTGTATTATTTATTTAACATTTAGTCAGTCGTACACATAGTACCTTTCAGTGTTTATAAAAGAACATGTTAAAAAGCTGGTTGTATGCACAAAGCACCAAGTAGAGCTCAGTTCTTGTTTGTTAGCGCCACTAACAAAGTGGTGCTCAGCCTGATGAGACAATGAACATGACGTTTTGTGTTTAATCAAAGATAAACATGAACCGTCAAAGTTTATCACCACTGGCTCTTTGAGGGCCATCATAATGCTCATGTGGCCCTCGGTGAAAATGAGTTTGACACTCCTGTATTAGACTATCAGATATTAGCAGAGGAATACAGTAATTCCATACCTCTATTTTCACAGTAGGGGTGACTTCGTCTTCATCTCTTGGATAGCGGATCTCCAGAACTGAATTGATCTCTGAAGACTCCAGGGGGCGGGCTATAGAGCGTCCATCGGGCCAGTACACTTCAACATTTGTGGCCACGTCTTTACCTGTTCAGGTAATGATGATTCAGGTTAAATATTACTCACATTTAAAACAAAAATCTCAGTTGATAATCATGAATCTTTCCGCAGACTCAGTCCAGACTGGGTACAGACTGAGTGGCGCTCTCCTCTCTTCATTAACTGTTTTAATCAGGCAAAGAGAAAACTCATCTCGTAGTGGAACCTTTTTTGTGGCCTTTAATTAAAATGGCATTTCTAATATAAACAGTTCTTCTGTCACCCTGCCAGACAGGTGCAGCGTCTGGGAGCCAAATGGTATTTCACCTGATCTGAACCTAGGTGATAACCTCACATAAGTGTGCTGTGGATCTGACATGTCCACTAACAAAGTCTGGAGTGCTTCACAATGCTGTAGTTGTTGGGGATTTTTTGTGGGGGCTGCTCCCTTCTTCAGGGGYTGCCACAGCAAGCAAACAAAAGGATTTGGGGATTGTTTTATGTAGAACGCCCTTCTTGGCACAACCTGGGCTTGAACCTGCAGCCTCTAGACTACAAAACCGCAGCACGGCTCACCGTGTTACCACAGCCCCTCTGGAGGTCTTTTCAATAACGTGGATAATACTGTGAGTCCTACAGTAGCTGATCTGTGACTGCACGCCCTTAATGCAGTGAGCAGGGCCAGGGCAGTGAGTCAGCCTGCATAGCCACCAGCTAACTGCTCCACAGGAGAGTTGRGGAGGTGGGGGAGTGATGGTTGCTCACAATCTAGGCTGGCCTCCAGCTAGAGCACCTGTCCTCCCTCTCTCACACGACTTTGTCCAAAAAGATCCCTCCTCCCACAGGCAAATTTTGCTCCTGCGGACCTCCAATCAGGCTTTAAGTTATTAAACATATGTGTTTCTCTACTATTTTTTCTCCATCATAGAAGTGGGCACAAGCAGACAAAAGTGTGGAATGGTTCAGAAAACAACAAACCCATTAATCAGACCTTTTCTAATATGTGCACACTTGTACATGATTAGCTAATAAGTGTAGACCCTAAATATTTAGCTAGATTTTTAAAACGTGGTCTTACCTAAGCCAAAGTGGGCGACGGGCTCCATCTCACACAAGTACCCTGAGCCACCATCAATAATTCGTGTGTGTGGGCCGCTCTTCTTTGTATAAACCACCACCTTAGCTCCTCTGGCAAAAGCCCCAAACCTGGTCCGGGGAATTACTCGCAGCCAGGAGTTAGACTGGCCCTAAAATATGAGCAAAAAGGAGGAGGCAGAGATGGAGCTTGGCAGGTTAGAACAACCCATTGATGATTTCCTGTAATTTAGAACACTCACCTGGTTGACTTTGTAAACAGAGAGAGGCTGAGCTGCACTTTCACCGTGAGACACAATCAGTTCCAGATGCCCGTCTCCATCRAAATCTGTGGCTACAGCTCCTGGAGATCCATCACAATAATGTTACAGCAGAGGAAACGGCTTTTAATAACATCTATTTGCATGCCACAGAAATATGGACATAAGTCAACAGTTATGGCACTAATGATTATGAACCAAAGGAAACTGGTATCCCACGTGGAGCTTTATCGCCATCTAGTGGTTTCATGTGCTAAAAATACAAAATTCAGCAAATAGAGATACTAAGTACTTCAAAGTCAGTTTTACTCAAGTTTATGGAAGTATTAAAATCATTTTAAAAAACAACAACATGGATATTATTAAAACATTTTTGAGACAGAACTATTGTCTTCTTTACTATTTCATTTTTGGCTTGTTTGTTTCTGGCTTAATATTATTTAATATATCTTTCCAGATAAATTGTGCCTCCTGGATAGGGTGAATTTAACTCTGGTTGGTTTGTATGATCCATCACACCTGTATGACATAAATCATGTCACACTCCAGCAGGACATATGAGTATAGAAAATGTCTGTAGCAGAGATAGTATATTTGCAGCTGAAACAGGTAGACTGGTGCATCCCAAATCATTCAACATTAACATTTTATTACAACATGATAAACGTTACGGCAGGGCAATATATATATA